CCTCTCTCGTTACCTCAAACAGACACACACAAGCGCACACACATGTTTTTTTACACAAGTTTAGTTGACGAAAGATATTAGAGAGTGTGGATTTAGTTTGTGAAAGATAAAAACTGTGAGAGTGAAATTTGAGACAAAACACTGTACATTGAATAAAGTTATATTTGCTTGTAGCGAAAGAAAAGAATGTACTTACAAGTTGCGAGATATAAACCTTTCACTTTCCCAAGAGCGTATGCACTTTTCAAGGCGAAATGAGCATACCCTTGGAAATTATAATATCCTAGTTACAAATATTATTTTTTCTTTTATAAAAGTAGGCTTTTATGGATTGTTAACTATGACGGTTGCAATTTTTCGGACTAACATTGCAAAATTTTCGTGTATAATTTTTCCGTTTGTTTGGAGAACAAAGGTGGTAACGCCTTTGAGTTTCGGACATTGCGTAAATATATTTTGCAATTTTGAATTATTGTAATTAGTAGGAGCTAAGGAACTTTGAATATATAAATTTCCCATTCGATTTTACAATATTTTAAAAGAAGTTTTTTACTGCAAATAAATAATTTAACATGGCTTTACTAATATTCATACTGCACACGGTACTTTATAATGTCTTTTTTAATTGGATTATTTAGATAGGAAAGGCAAAGGCAAAGGTATTACGCTAATAATACGTTTAAATTAAATTTATGTCTCATTTAAATGTATCATTACATAATATGATTATTTAATTTATAATGATGTAAAAATTAATTGCGTTCACGAGGTGTCTCGTAAAATCATTGATTATGGCATTGCATGTATGCTTAGTAAAATTATGAATTATGCATGCTCGTCAGTTCAGTAATGAAATATTTTATTATCATGAAGTGAGATTCATAAAATAAATAATAATTAATATTTAATAAATTAATAATAACGCATTTATAGATATTTAAATGGTAATATTTATTTCTTAAGAATAAATAAGTGTTACGCGGGTCTTATGAATATAATTATAAGTATAATGAATTGTTGTAATGGTTGTTGGTCTTTTAAGTGAAAATTAATTAAAGTGATATGTGGTACGTACGAGTTACAATTTTTTTTTTTTTTTTTTTTTTTAATTTACCATTCTAATTAATTATGCAAATATTTTGAAATTATGATGAAATTCCGCTGCGTGAAATATAAAATTGTCACAAGATTACACAACGTACTCGTTAATGTTAGAAATGTGTTCTATACACAGGACATCCAACTTTTTTAATTTTTAATTGTTCTAATTGACTTAAACGAATTTGTTTATTTAATTACTCGCCGATATATACTTATCTTAGCAATACTTTTTGAGAAAACTGTTTCATAAAAAATTAACGATAACTTAACTTTTTTTAATCTCGTTCGGGATACTATCGAATTTCAAAACTCGTATAATCCTTCTCAAGATTTAGCCCTACGAGATTTCATATACCTCAACCTCGACAGTCCATCCTCATATCGATCATAATTAAATTGTAAGTAAGGCCCGTAGCTTTTGCTACGCGGCCTCTTCCCCGAGAGGTCCGGACGATTAAGCGAAATCAATCTCATGAACGAGAGCACTCACATGATTCTCGGCCGGCGCGGTGCCTCCGGATGGGATACGTAAATCTCCTCCTCCCGGGGCCGGTGTTCTCGTCCGCCGGCGGCACTGCCACTCGATCGCTCGGTCCCGTGGCACCGGTCCCCTGGCCAGTCGCTCCACTCTTGCTCGTCGGACTCGGCGCCTTGGGAGCACCGCTTTATATCACTTCCGCGGGCCTCCTTCCACTCAGCGGCGCCCTGCCCCCGACTCTCGAGCACCTTTCTAAGGATCGCTTTCCCCTCGTCGGCCCCTACCCCCGCGCCCCTTACTCGCACTGGAATTTTAGATCGATTTTACTCGAATGGTACCCGATCAACGGTTATTTCCATTGCTCCGAACGGAGTTGCTAGAGCCTTTTGTCATTGATAGGCCGAGTTTCAGGTCTGCTCCAATTTTCAACGTTGCGGCAACCTTTCGGGGTATTGGGGCTTTGTTTTGATTCGCCAGCTTTCGCGAGAAGCCAAAGTGTGGCTTTGTTGAGCAAGGGTCTGTCGCGGATAGCATTCGCGAATCCATTTAAGATTTAGTCAACGAATTTCTTGCCTCAAGCTGACTTTCGCCCCGTTCGTTTATCGCACGATTTTCAGATTTAATTGATGCCACTTGGGTGGTGCGCGTAAAGGACACCACTCGTATTCGTGGCAAATAAAAATTGAAATCCTTTCATTGTAATGTAAGTTGCGGCAGTTGAATTGGAAAACAATGGCGAATAATCGAATTTTACTTACAGATTGTACTTTTAATTTCAATGGAATATTATTTGAGGCAAGTTAAGAAAATGAATGTCCGATCCTTCGGGCAATCCGGGAATCATCGGATTTGCATTGTATGAGACGATTGAAATTAGTTTTCTTTTAGACGTATTCCGGAGATTTGTATCGGTTTTCGCAGTTGTTATTAAAATAAATTAGTAATACAAATATTCTCTCTTTTTTTTTTTTAATGAATTTTCATGGGCTGTAAAAGGTTACGTAAAATTTACAAATATCAATACGATTAATGAAAAATTGCCATAATGTTTGAAACTTTGAAGTAATGAGACGCAAATAAATACAAGATTAGTGAATTTCTTGAGCAAATTTTCTAAGAAGCATAAAACCTTTTAATTTAATAAAAAGTAAGTAAAAGTAATTTATATTAATTTTCTCATTTATATCCATTGTATTACGGATTTCACTGTTTAATAGACCATGATAGCGCTTTTTCTTTTCTAGCCCGTAAGATCTCATTTAAGAGAGAAAAAATGTATACTTGATATCGTGATGTTGAGACCGTAATTTAAGTAACATTCATAATATAAATGACACATAAATAAATTTTACTATATTATTAACTAGATTTGTGTCTATAATAACAATCGACACCTAAAATATAAATTAATCGTATAGTTTGATATATTGAAAAACGAAATGAAAGAGCTCATTTACCAATATTATATAATGCGATTTCAGTGTTTATGAATAAATAGCTAATTTTTCTTCCAAGATTTCTATACGGGAAATTGACATGCGTGCTATAAAATTACCATCGTAGAATTTTTAAATTACAACATACTTTACGAAAAACATTATAAATATTTATTAAAAATTTATGAAATAAAAGCATTATTAAATATTCAAAAAGAAATTTGTACAATAATGATTGCCAAGTTTTCTTTTAGAAATCGAACGATTATTAATATAATTGAATATATTTCAAGTATATTTTGAAATTGTTTTCAAATAAATTGTTTTATGCTTGTTATATACGATAAACTACCACCCATTATTCCATTAAATCGCTTTATTCCACCGCAAAATCACTTACAACAATAGGCTATTCTTTACTTCAATCAATTTCAATTCAATCAAAGTTGAAAATATTAATATACAAAAATTCACTTTTAATATAATACTTTTTTTTTTTTTTTTTTTTTTTTTTTAATACTGCCAAGCATACTAAACAGCCGATTTATTATGATGTGAAATTATTTGTGAATTCTGAAATACGAAAATTTATTATACTTTCAGAACTAAATTTAAAAACTAATAAAATTAAGCTGAAAAGTATTTTATATATTACTTTATGACAGAATTGTAATTAACGATAATTTTTATAAAGTATTCCTTTTCTTTTTGTTAAATAGAATTCCATAGAAATGTATCAGTGGGTCATTAGAGCACCCTCACTTTAGTCGACATACTTTCCATTTCGGCTTACATTTGCGTATTTACACTTGTTTTTTTTTCACTTTTGTTTGATCTCATATTCATCTTCTCGAATCGTGCGATATATCATTTCCATCCTTTCACCTTTCTCGTCTCAATCACCGATGACATAAAATAATTTTTAATTTCAAAAGATGCTTTTAAATATTTGTTTTTTTTTTTAATAATTGGATTTAGTAATGCACGTACGAAATTGCGCGAATAAATTGAGCTAAAATGATATTTGATTTTTATTTAATTTAATATTACCCAACATTTCTTCATCTAGGATAGATCGATGAAATATTATAGAATTTGCATATATTTTCATCTCATACATAACTGGTTATGATAACTAATTTTATCATTGTTAATTGTATGTTTTACCGCTACGATAAATTGTATACAGAAGATGAAGATCGAAATGAATGCATTTTTATTGCTAGATAAATATGTCATAACATCGAATAAATATATATTTAATCAATACTTTAATATCGGAGTTATAAAAGTTTTTTTTTTACATTTACAGATACTATGTAAGCAACTGATTATTTAGGTCAAGTTTAATTTTGACTAATTCTTCATTTTTTAATTGTTATGTAACATTGTAATGTTTCAATTTTTTTTTTTGCTTGTATTCATTAGTTTGAATATAAAATATTTAATTTACTATATACTATCCAATTTTAATGCAATAATTTTATATTTCATTTAAATTAACAAGTATCGATCCATATGCTTAGTTGGTATAGTTATATAAGTTGTTTTATAACAACTTAATAAGAGTAATTAATTCGATGAATCTAATATTATCCCCGATTCTCATAATTTAAATATTATTAATTAACGTCGGGCATTGTAATTATTATAATTTTACATTAAGTGAGCTGAAAAATAAATAGAATATTTAATTTAGTTATTATATTCATTTATTTATATACAAAATATCCAATCTTATAACTACGTATTAAAAATATAATGTATAAACGAGTATTAGGCACATTTTTTTCATTTATCGTCTTTTGCTTTTTCATAAAAATTATGTTTATAAAATTTGCAAGAATTTTTGAAAATACGGATTTTATTTTTATATTTACAATTTTTCTACAACGAAGTATTTATATACAGTATTGATGAAGATCATTTACTTCTTTGTGAAAAGAGCTTTACATTTTTTTACTATAACTTTTCCTATAATTTCGAAATAAGTAATTTGCAGATCTCAGTATGTAGAAATGTCGATAATAATTGAAAAGAGATGAGAAATTGAATTATTATGTTGGCACATTTTAACAAACCTTTTAGGTAGTTTCAAATGATATATTACACAAATTTCTCAAATAAAAAAATTATATCTATGACAATTAAGATTTAATTATTCTAGTATATCTTTTAAATCAACTTCCCCATGTACTGTATTATTATCGAGATTAATTTGAAATAAAATCCTTATTATTCTTCGATAAAAAACACTCTACAAATATATAATTAATCACTTTTTATTTATTTTTTTTAATGTTTTAACTTAAACTGTTTGTTTGTTTGTTTGTTTGTTTGTTTTTTTTTTTTTGGTAAAATATTACATAAGATATCAGTTTTAAATGCAATCATGCCTTGGCGATTATAAATTACGCATTATCTTCCAAATATTATAGCAATTTATGATCGTAATTTATAAGAAAATACATTGAATACTTGGATTGTAATTTTTTTTTCATTCGTTTCGTCAAACACATAAGGGCAGCATTCGTTTGCGAGTGTACAATGTCTACCATTAATTATAATAATTAAATTTATACATTAATGTCATGTAAGAAATATTCTCGTTTAAAGTCCTATGGATAATGGATGGCAGTGTCGGTTGTTCAGACCAGCAATTTATTATCCTGGCAAGCGGGACCCTTGCTTGGATAATTACATGCTCCGGCACTTGAGTCGAAGGCTAAATGAACTGGACAGTTGAAAACATGCAGCGTGTAGCGTTTCTTCCAATTATCCCAGTGACAAGCATAGAATTTGTTGCAAAATTTGGGATGTCTGAAAAGACCTGGCCTGGCGCATTCTAAATTGTCATTAGGAGAGCTGTCGGTGCTTTTGGAACTGATGGATGATTGTTGCCGATCAGAGGAATCGATCTGACTTTTCAGGTTATTGGGTGTCCTCGGAGCGCCATCGAATAGAGATTTACTCGATCTTCTTTTGGATGTTATTGCAGGGCTATTTGCATTAGTATTTTCGACTCTTATCAACAGCGGTCGACGACTCTGCGTTTGAGCATTCAAGGAAGCTTGATTCTTCCTGTATACAGGCGTAATGAGAGTTTCGGTTGACGATGGCAGGTAAGTATTTGATGGTCTTGCAGGTGGAAGATAAGCACTTAAAGTATTCGTTTTTGGTAATGGTAAGTAAGTCGACAGTGGTTCTCCCCTCGATCTTACAACAACGTTTCCAACACCTTCATCTTGATTTGCTTTAAGGCTCGAAGATTTTACGAGTCCGTTGGATGGGATATTTTTTATAAAATCGATATCTTTTCCGTTCTCCTTATCGCTCTCCACATCTACGTAGATGTCACTTTCGTCATAATTAGCTAAATCGACTGGGCCACGATTTTGAGATTTAATGGGTAAGGGTTCTTTATTGGGTGCTCGGAAAATTGCAAATGGATCTGCCGTACAAGTACATTCGGCGCCTAATTTGCCAAGAATCAATGGATGCAAATCGCTAAGTTTTACAATTACTTTATTATTTTTATTTTGCGCATTGGATAAAGTGCGGCCTTGCATTCTACCGAAATCACCGGTGTATGTTGTTATTTCTGGTGCAGTGGTAGTACTTTGTTGCGTTAAACCAGAATTTTTACTCGTTACGCCATCAAATGCTGATATGATTTTGATATTTTCTCGATTTTGAGCAAGAATACCGCTATCGAAATTTGTACCACCAAATGACGTTACAACATTTGAACCTATTAAAGTTCTTTGTCTATTAAAGTCTTGATTTTGTCGAGAGTACGATTTTTCTGGCACAAAACTATTTATGAGCTTATTAGATGGCGTTTGATGACTGAAATCTCTGGAATTTTGTTTATTCGATATTTCGTTGGATTGGGGTTGAGAAACGAAGTACGGAGAAGCTTGATTATTTAAAATTTGTGCATTTAAATCTTGAGGGGCGAAATTTCTCGAACCCTCGTTATTTAAGAATTTATTGGATGCTGTATGATAAGTCGATCCAGAATATCTGGATGCTTGATTTATCAATGGATTATCGGCTGATCTTTGTTGAGGAAATTCTATCGTAGCCTGATTAGATAAGATTCTATAATTGGAAAGTTGAGGTTTGATATCAGCCGAATTAATATTTCGTGCAGTATCAATAGCCAATGATCCATCAAATTGATTCTGAGAAAATTCAGCAGCAACAATTGGTTTCTTCAACGCGCTATGCGTTAATGGAATTTTCGTACTAGGTGGATAATTCACCTGAAATAAAATTTATTTTAGAATAATATATTATATTATAGATGAACGTGAGTACAGAAATAGAATCATTTAATTTTTTCAAAAATTTCTACCGTTGATATGAAATCAATTGGCTGATTGGAGCCCAAAAGTTCCGATTCAGTCGTCGTATAAACGCCAGTTTCTGTATAGAATCCATAATTATCTTTTGTCGATTTAATTAAATGACTATTTTGATTTGCCTGCAAAATTGTGAAATAAATAAGAATTGATCTGTATTATACTATTAATACATAAAGTCATAATATTGTTTTATAAAGCCACAGATATAATTATCAAATACTAATATATCACTGCATTTAGTAGAATATTAACATTAGTAATTATTCGTTAAATTTATTGAGAGTATAATTTAATGTTCTTAAATTTTATATTTCAATGATTTTATTTATTTTTTGTTGTTGTTGATATTCCACAAGCAATAATCCGCAGCCCGTTAAAACCAATTTTTTTCCTGATTAAAAAAAAAAAAAATTTTTTAACCTTACCGCCTTAGTTTTTGTAGTTGCTTGTTGATAATTGACATTGGTAAATATTGTTTGCCCAGCAATTTTTTGACCGAAATTGCCTTGATCAAAATTAGCTGTAATATCGGAATAATCCGAGCTGCCAGTCGATCCTTGTACCGTTGATACATAATCATTTTCTTGATTGAACGAAACACCAACATCCAAATACGTATCTGGCTTGGTCGATAAGTTATTCTGATAACTTTGCTTCTGTGTGGTGATAGTCAGTGGCACAGGGGTGGTTGTGACCACAACACCAAATTCCGCTTCCAATTCGGGTTTAACGGTGGAAATTGTTTGTGATAATGTATTGATGCGTTGTACTGTAGTTTTAAATGTCTCTAATGGATTAATAGAATTATCAAAGGGCGATGGAGTAGTGCTGAAGACTCCATTATTTTGATCTTTCGTTTCTATTATAACAGAATTTTGATTGTTATATGCTTGGATAGTTTGAGACGGTGTCGTTCTCGTTGAATACGTCGTTTGTCGTTGTCCGGGGATACTTGACGATCCTTTGACCTCCACTTCTACTAAAGGTCGAGGGTAAGAGTAGCCCGTGAATTCAGGTGTTTCCGATGCAGTATTATACTTCAATAAGTCACTATTGGTAAAGTCGGTACTGGCCGTAGATGTCTCAAAATTAATTGTACTGCCTGTTGCACCAAAGTTACCAGCAAATGCTTGCTCTCCAATATTCTGAGGGTTTGGTTTTACTCGCGTGCCACCGGTTCCCATGACATAACTACCACTTCCACCTATCTGAGCAGTCGTGATACCCGTTTTTGTCGGTCCTGTTTTCGTAAATCCTTCATTCGTAAAGATTCCTTGAGATTGCTGTTGATCTTGACTTCCTATGGTACTTTCCGATTGAGTTTCTTGAATAGTCGATTGCTCATTCGCTCCATTACCGGCACTGATAATAAATGAATTTGGTAACCTCGTATAAGTAGACGTTCTATAATCTTGTATGTCATTTTCTGTCACTTTATTCGCTACTTGACCATTATTGTACTTAATGGTACCGCGGCCACCATTATCGTAATATTCATTAATTCTGTAGCCAGTGTTTTGTTCTATTGTAGATGGATGATTGTTAGTCGATGTATCCGGCGCAGACGTCGATGAGACATCAAACTTTACGCCAAATAATTTAGAATTGTCAAGCTCTACTTGCGGTAGTGAATTACTCAAGGGTACGACTGTTGGTACCGTTGAGGCTATAAATTTTTAGAAATACATAGATATAAAATATTACAACGTAGTTATTAATAAATAGGATATTTTTCAATAATTCTATTTAATATTTGTGATATGCCAATACTAGTAAATATTTCTATCATTAATGTTTAGTTCGATTCATTTATAGAAAAATCAGTTGCATATATATAGAAAGAATAAGATCGGATGGATTATTTAATATTGAATTTTTTTTTTTTTTTTTTTTTTTTTTTTTTTTTTTTTTAACTTGCTATCTCTTTTATATATTTCCAGAGATATTACTAGTAGAAAAATGAGAAAGGAAAAATCTTTTAATAGCTTTCATTCAACTAATTAAAAATACTTCATTCCATTTCAGTTAAAATTATTCACAGTCTTTATCAAAATAATATTCAAATTAAATTGATTCGCTAACTAATGATATTAGAAATTTACAGATAATTGTTCATTTTAATTAATCATATTAAGTTTTTCTATACAATCGTAAAAATCTTAATATATATAACAATTTATGAAAGCTGTAATTATTTGGTACCGTATATTATTGCAATGAAATTATTAATTGAAAAGTATTCAAATAAAGTTATATACTTAGAATTAAGTTACTTTGCTATTAATAACTTATATAAATTTTTATATGTGAAATAAGACATATATTTTTGAATTAAAATTTAAATGAAAAAGTTGATTGTATAATATCTATTATTTTCTATCTATTATTGGATAATGTCTATTATTATTACTATTATTATATGTATACCATATTGCCATATTTCTTAATTAAAAAAAAAATATATATCTTGTAGATTATTTCGTTGGGAAGTAGCAGTATTTTGTGAAATAATAGTATAAATACCAGAATAAGAACCGGATGATTTTATAAAGTTCGTGGCTGTGTTATCAGGGCCATTCTCACGAATTATAATGTTATTGGGCAGCTTTGGCGATTCTCCGAATTTCGTAATTCCAGTATTGCTCGAAGTAATACTTTGTCCAATAAATGGAGAATTTGTTAGGCCATTAGAGGTGTGATCTGTACCATAATTAGAGGCTGTCGTTGTAAATGACGAGCCTCCGAAATTCGTTGCACCTGCAAAATCTTGCGATATTCCATTTTGGCCGTCTCGAACTACCGTAATAACTGGCGTTACTCCATCTGTCAAATATTCAATAATATCCTGCTTTTAATATTTATAGTTGTATTGTTAGTTTTCTACATCAATGTTAACATATTAAAAAGTAGTTTTTCACCTCAAACTAAAATTTAACGATCAAGAAAATGAAGTAAAATAAAAAAAAACTTTCCAAAAATTGTAATTTTTAATGAGGCTTTTGTATAATAAGTGAATGTACAAGTTGAGTTGATTGAAAACGAAAAATTTTAGAAATTACCGAAATTGATTTTCGAATAATCGTCGACATTGGTTGCCTTATTAAAAGTCTGCCCATTTTGAGGATATCCGTAGGACGTGAATCCTTTTGACGTTTGGCCCGAATCAGTAAAACTTTTTGCAGCTTCATTAGTATATTCATTGCCGAAATTTTCAGCCGATGTAAGTCCCATAGCTATTTGCGAATGGTAAATTACAGCTACATTGAATGTAAAAATTGCATATTTTAGCACATTGTAATAAAACCGATGTTTCGAATAACTTACAATTAATGGGCGTTGTCCCATCAGCATCTACTGAATTATATGTGTTTTGTCTCGTTACGAATGGAATTATTGTCGAAGTAGGGAATCCAGCTGTATTATATGACGAATTATACATTATTGGACGTACTGTACTGGGTACGTATTGGGTATTACCTATGGTTATGACACTATTTGTACCACCATAAGTATCGTTTCTCGTCGTTGAGTCGAATGCATTAAAATTCGTAGTTTCACCTGGAACTGATTTAGTAATATGCGTATTACTATATTGATTCGTAGGCAAAGTATTTTTCACGGTAAATCCTGCAGTATTTGATGCATAACCACCAGTAGTGACATGAGCTGAGTTGCCACCAATCGTTCCCACGGTATACCCAGTAAATGGATTTTTCGAATATCCATACATATTGTCTGATGTATACCCTGTGTTAGAAGTCAATCCATCTGCGAAATTAACTGGGCTATCGGTAAGTCCTGTAGTTACGTGTGTGTTTTGATTGAAATTATTATTTATACCAACAGTAGTCACTGAATTTCCCGAATGGAATTGCGTAGTCTTGACTCCCTCTTTATTGTACCCTGTGATATCTTTATTGTTATAGTCATTATTTACATTTGTACTACTTTTATTATCGCAATCATCCGATTTTGTATTATCTTTCTTATTGTGATTTTCATTATCAGTATTTACATTTTGATCGTGGAATTTGTTCGTATTAATACTGGGTCCATATACAATTCCAGGATTATTATAAACAGGATAATTGTATCCTCCTTCAGCATATCCGCCGTGTTGTCCGTAATTGAATTCAACCCCAGACGGATTTAAATATTGTCCGTCATATCTTACACCTGCTGTGGGAAGCTCCGGTTGTTGTTTATCATCGCAATCTACCACATCGACACCTGGTAAATTGGCCTGCGGAGTTACGTATCCATAAGTATTAAAATTTGGATTTCCTTGGACAGTTTGTCCCGAATTGGCAGACCCAAAAGCATTATGTCTTTGACCGTTTTGTCCTACTCCCGTTCCAGCTGTTTCGTGTGAATTATAATTATTGGCATCATAATTTACTTTTGTCCCAGCGAAATTCCCATTATTATATCCATGATATGTTTTTCCTGCATCAAAAGTTCCTATTCTATAGTAAGTTGGTCCATTATTATATCCATAATTTGTATTATAATTCTTATCGTCAGAATTTATTCCTGCTCCTGCAGCATCGTCTATCTTATAATTATATCCATGCCCAACACCAGCTTCAGGCGGTTTTAACGCTGGTTCAACAACTCTATGTGTGTTATAAAGATTTTTATCGCAATTTACTTCACTCCCCTTCGAAACAACGGTTTTATAATCGTATCCATTGTAGCCTACATCTGTTTCAGGAGTCCTAATCGGATTAAAGTTTTGTCCATCCTGTCCTATTACGGGTTTTACAGCATCATTCGAATTAACTCTCGTTCCTGTAGCGTAACCCGAATCATAATTGTGCTCGTATCCAACTCCATCTTGAGGATTATTTACCGGATAATAAGTTTGACCGTTGTTGTATCCTACAACAGGATTAACCGCGTTATTTGTATGATAAATGCTTTCACCATAATTTGTTCCTATTGTATTGACACGACCGGCATTGTGATCATGTGCATATCCCGAGCCCGTTTCTGCGATTATTACGGGATTATAAGTTTGACCATATTGGTTTATCGCTATTTTATCACCATTTTTTGCATTGTAACTCTTTCCATCGTAATTGACTCCCGTTCTAATACCACCATTTGCGTTATAATTATGTTCATATTCCAGTCCACCTTGAGGATTGTTTACAGAATAATACGTTTGACCCTGATGCCCTATCGCCGGATTAACATCACCGTTTACATTATAATGTTTATCATCGTAATTTCCTACAGTTGCAGTCGTAGCGCTTACATCATCATTATTCCCATGATATTCCAACTGTATTCCGTGTGCTCCTGCAGAACCATAAGTCTCTTCGCCCTGTCCTAATACTGGCCCAACAAAGCCACCTGTATTATAAACTTTTCCATTGTCGTTTACTCCCGTTCCACCATTATTGCCTAAATTGTAATTGTACCCATCACCTCCCACGCTAATCGAAGGAATTCCTACTCTATCATAATTTTGCCCATCGTATTGAATTCCTATATGTGCCGGTGACTTAAAACCTCCGGTTCCATTAAAAACGTTCCCGTCATAGACATTCTTCAATCTATTTATATCGTAATTTTCTCCATTATGCGAATTTTGTACAGAAGCAAGACCTTGCCCGGGATATCCTGTTTGTATAATAAATCCATTCTGACCAAATATTCCATCATGTGGCATGTGCTTTTCTTGTCCATTGTATTGGTTACCGTAAGCATATGTGTTATATCTATTATTATGTTCAGGACTGTTGCAATTTGGTACTTTCCATGGCCATTCGCAAATCAATTTATTCTCATCAAAAACCAAGCCAAATGGACAACGAAATTCATAAGGTACCATCTCGGATCCACCTGAAAATATTATTTAATAATTTATTAGCATTAATCATGACTGAGAATGCTTAAACAATATGGTTTTACGTATGATTTTTATATACACCGGAATTTATCATTTTTCATATTTCAATAATTCAATATTACTTGAATTGAAAATTCTGATTTGATAATAATCAAATTGCGATTGGAAACATTTACCAAGATCGTAACAGGCGAAGAACCATCGGCAATTTTGCGGATCCGCGTAAAAGCCGGGTTCACTCGGACAACGGAATCTGCTTCGAGGTACAGGCTCGATTTCACTACTCCCCGGGCACGCCGAACCTTTCGACAGAGATCCTGGCCACACGCAAACTTCTGTCCGTTCGTCAAAAGCTAATCCAGCTGGGCAATCGAATTCAAAAACCGAATAATCATCAAAGTCCTGATTAAATTTTACGCACCTATAAAATCTGCAATTGCGAAAATTTATGTTTATTTATATGCTCGTAGTATATTATGTGGATTTGCAAAATTTCATTGAGGAAGCGATGTTTTGCACAACTGCTCCGGGGGAGGGTGAGAATACATGGTTAACTGATTTTACCTGTTACAGCTTTTTGGATGGACAAAATAACCTTGTCGGGTACAGGTAAATGCTGTTTGCGTATTTTCTCGAACGGCTCGGATTTTCCCCTCGGTATCGACGATTCGCACTATTCTAAAATCTGAAGATCTCACGTGTCGTGGATAAGTAATTTCAGTGCCCTAAAATAATGCGTGGATAATAAATATGATATATCGATTAAAATTTGTTTGTTTTGTTTTGAAATACGAAAAGTTAAGTGTTCCAAAAAATCTAAATATTGAATAAATTTACATATAACCAACGACAGATCAATATTGCGTATTTTTCAACAATTATAATTAACAGAAAAGGACAAATTTACAAATACGTGAGAAAAATTATATGTATTATGTTTTATGGAATTTATTTCAAATATAATTTAATTTCAATTAATTGTCAAAAGATAGCAGCACCATACGCTTGCCACTGCTAAATACGGAGAATATCGATCGAGTGGCTTTGTAACTCACAGGGTAAAGAGAATGTAATTTCCAAGAGAATTTAATTATAATATATTCTTACCTTTAAATCTTTTTCTAACGACGACAGTATCACAGCCCTCGTTTTTCTTTTCACGTCCACGAAGGCTTTATATATCGATTGAACCAAGGATTTTCCACAATTAGTTTTATAATCATTTTCCACGTCGCGTAACGCCAATCCATACAAATCTCGTAAAATTACGTACTTGCTCTATCGATAAAAGTACAAAATTTAAAAAAGTTAAAATTTATTATTTATAAAGATGGACTGATAAAGACTTATGGATATGTATTTTGCTAAATTTCTCGAAATGACAAGCAAAATCAATTATTTTTTCTATTATTATACTAGTACGTGAAATTAGAATTAGAGCGTTGCTTTATTGAAAGTGAATTTACCAATTTAAAAATTATGAAAAAGTAATTTTTAAATTACAGTTTATTCTTAACAAATAATTCAAGATTCTATGTTATATATATATATATATATATAAAAAAAAAAAAAAAAAAGTAGTAGTTATTTATGTGCGCAATCTTCATTTTGATTATAAAAATTTATTCTTTTATTCATTTCCCAAAAAGGTCCATATCTATATATACATATGCATAAATACACATAGAATTTATCAAATTTGTGATTATTTAATGAAGGAAAAGCGAAGAAACCTTAATCATTAACGAAGTTTCATCTTCAAAGGCAATCCACGTTGTATTTTTAAATGCATAAGGCGCCGTGAGATCTTCGTCTCTTTCCACTGTCCAATCGCCATTGCTCATTGTTTCGCATAGCTATGTTTGAAAGAAAAGTATTTATTTAGTTGGAGAAATAAAGATTCATAAATTTAATCCAATGTACGAGTCAAAGTGTAATTGTACTTTTTTACGATCCATGAACTTGGGCTGTTCGTCCACCGTTAACGATCTCGGCGTGTTACTCTCAGCTTGTTTCAGCGTAAATTTCAAAGCCTTTGCCGGTACTGATATAAGTATTTTGTGTTTTGGTGCGCCCATACCACTGATAAGATCCACTAAACTATCGGTATTCAGCATGTCGAATAAGCCCATTAATCGAGACGGATGGAATGTTCGATACGTCTCGTCGCTATCTTTCAAGTAATGGGTCGCTACTGTAAAAACATCGACGTATCTGAAGAACAAACGTTTAAAATTCTGTGATCGTCAATTAATCCTTTTATTCTTATTATTAATTTGCCCATTGAAATTAAAATTGCTTTATTTAGCTGCATAATTTGTTGGATATGAATGACGAGGGAATATTAATTAACTGTAAAATATGTTAAGGCTAAAATATAATGAGGCTGTAAAGACGAAATAATAGATTCGTTAGTCAATCTATACTTAATCGAGTATAATTGCCTTAATCAAGAATCTAGAAGAATCATAGAAAGTTGTATGATTCGTTCTGTTTTTTTTTTTTACTTTTTATTTTTGTTTATTACTTTACGTTTATAATAATAAATGATTATTTTTATTTAAGTTATTTAGTAAGAACAAAGTTTAAGAAGGAGTTTCAAAATTGATTTATTGACAAGCATTGAGACAATACTTAGATAAGTTCATAATTCATTTAATCGCAATAGTAATGACCTTTGCAAAGGAAAGATGACGCAAATAATGGCAAATTGTCTATGCAAAACCTTTGGCAAATGCATTTGCTTTGGAATGACTGGCAGTCTCTCGATGGGTGGCATTCTCGAGACTAAATAAAGTCGTTTTACTATTTAATGTATCGGCGCTCTCCTTACGAAGATGCAGCTTAAAGAGAATATCGCGAGCGAGGGTCGTTATGCGAGGCTTAAAGCTAAATGCGCGTACGCTCAGATGGCCCATCAATGTCGTAGTCGTTTCCTCGCTCTTCTTATCCATATTAAAGGAGGAAATCTGTCTTGTTCGAGCGTAGAAAGAACATGATGACTCGCGCCCGCAAAAGTGGTGCAGCCGGTCATTGCAGCATCGCGCATTCCAGGCATGTGACCCAGACCCAGCAGTGGTGGCTCGTCCGTCAAGAGCAGAGATGCGAAGAAGGCTAAATTTGCCGAGGGACGATGATCGAGGGACGCGCTTTGGAATACGCCCATGATGATCCATCGACTCGTACAGCTCGTGCAGTCCGATTCTTTTTACTCGCTGTAATTTGAGGACTTGCGATCGTCGTAATAGGCGCGAAATCGCTCGTTTTACCATAGTTAGCCAAGCAATTTGTCGGGCGATTGTTGCCCTTTACCGAGGATTAATAATAAATTCTTGCAATTTGCTTTAACATATTGTGAAGAGTAGTCATTTACTATACGTTCGGTTGTCGCGGGTAAATCAATTATGCGGTTCGCGGCTTCTTTATTAGTTCGAAAAGATGATGACACGAATGCATCGCTCGTACATCGATGACGATGTATTTTAGTTTTACGATCGATGAAGTAAGTAAGGATACGGTATTAGCATTTCTGAGGTATGCAAGAGTGATTAATTGTTATTAAG